TCCCCCCCATCCCCCGCACCTGCAGCCTCTGGCTGCGCTGGGGACCCTGCTGCTGCTGCCGGCTCTGTGACCATCCCCCCGGGCTGTGTCGGGAGCAAACCCACTCCCAAATCCTCCCCCCAGCCCCGGCCCCCGGGCCGTGTTCCCACCGGGAGCCGCGGCGGCCGGGCAGGGGCCGGCCCCGGCAGCCCTTTATGCTCCGCGGTCAGCAGCCGGGTTGTGGGTTTGCAGCTGCATGCAAATAAATCCCCGGCAATAATCTAATGCGGGTGCTGCCCCGACGACAAAGTGCCGACACAAACGCAAGTGCTTTTGTTTGGTTTTGACCACCTCGGTCTCGCATCCAAGGAAAATAAATAAAACTAGAGAGGGAGACGGAGAAAGTTGGTTAATATGGGTGTTTCATCCAACTAAACCTGCTTTTGTGATCTACGAGAACCGAAGATTTGTATCCTATACCTCTGCGAGACCCGCACCACCACCCATCCCAGCTGGAGAAAACGATTCCACCCGTGATGAGCAGGAACGAGGTGTCCTGTCAACCCGACCGACCTTATCTATTACGTTCACACGCATCTCTTCCCACAATTTTCAATTAATTACAGCTGCATTCCATATAGGACGGGGGGGTGGGGTGGATAATTTAGCGCACTATCTTCTACTGCAGGTAAAAGGGATTTTGTTTGTTTTACTTTTCTCCAAGGAAGGTCCGTTTGCACATATAGAGCGGAGTGGTTTGGTTTTTCCTTGCTCATCTTAAGCAAAAGCTGAATAGAGTCAATGGGATGAAGAGGAATTAAAAAAAAAAAAAAAAATAGCGACAGAGGGGGGGAGGAAGGGGAAGCCTTTGAGAAGGAGCTGGAGTGAGAGAAGGAAAAGAAAAAAAAAATCAAACCGCAAAAAAACCCCAGCAACACAATTCCAGAGAGGATGGGAGGGAATAGAGTTTCCCAATTGCCTTTCTGCGGACTGGCATAAAAAAAAGTCACATTGAAGGCTGGGGCGGGGGAGAGCTTTACTTTTGCGAAGTGTAAATCTCTAAGGACAAGCAGGACTTGATGATGCCTGGTGCCGCCCGCGACGGGCTCAGTCCCCGGGGTGGCCGGAGGCCAAGGGGTAGGCAGGGCAAGGGTGAGTCGCCCAGCACGGGGAGAACCGCCAGTTCTCCCTCTCCCATCCCTAACTTTTGTAAGGAGGGGTCATTATCATTGTGGAAAATTCAGTTTCCCTGGCAAAAGACGAGAAATTTATCTCCAGTCAAAGTTCCCACTGAGGGTACGGGCAGCCGGGGCGCCGCCCCCGGCCCAGCCAGGTCTACCCCAGCCGTCTCCCGGTCCAGCTGAGCCAGTGCCCGCCCTGCTTTGGGGTTCCACCCCTCTTGGAGGGGACGCTGCCCTGCAGCCGCCGCGCTGGGCACACACGGGCCGCCCTGTGACCAGCCGGCCAAACGGCGGCCCTCGGGCCTCCCCTCTGCGCATCGACCCTGGGAGCTTTCCCAGGCTTTGCCCGGCTGTCTCACGCCTCGCTCATCCCCAGCTTTCCCGCTGAGCCCGCCCTGCACCCCTAGCAGGCAGGTCCCGCCGGCGGCGGGGCTCCCCGGCACGGCAGAGAATAGCCCTCCCCTTGGCGTCTGGGCTGCCCGTCTGCGCGACCCGGCTTTTCCTGCCCTCTGCCCTGCGGCCGCCCCTCTGGCCTCCCTGGCATTCACACAACCCTGCCCAGCTGTCGCTTGTCCCCTCGGGGAGCTATTTTCCTCTCTTCCCCAGCTTCCCTCTCCCCAGATGCTCCTCACTCGGGACGCAGTCGCCCCCCCGCGAGAGGACTCTGTGGACCCCTTCGGACTCGCTGCCCACCGCTGCCTCCTTTTCTCCGCCGCCAACACAAAAGCCCTGCCCAAAGCGGCCGAGCAGAGACTGCACAGCAAAGCCCACGCCCGCTGCCCTCCCCGTAATGCGAACTCCTGAGGGAAATCTCCCTGCGGGGCTGCGCTCCTAAATCCTAGACTCTCTTAATCTTTGCAGCTTTTGGTAGGAGAAAGAGGAGTTTGTCGTCTAAGTTGTTCCTCGCACCTTTGTGTGACCTGACGCGGGCACCGGGACAACATTTCGCCGGTTTCTGCAACCCAAGAGGAGATCTCTGAGCAAGGGGGCCGTGGGCAGAATCTCCGGATCACCCTCTTCTCTCCACCCCACGCACAGCCTTCTCGCCTTCGTCTTTGAAACTGTGTTCGAAACAGCAGCTGAAACACAATTAATTGTAACTGATTAACATGGATCAGTTTCGCCTCCAAAGCACTTAAAGTCAATTCAGCAGCCATAATAATAATTAATTCATTAATAAGTGCTATTGGTGCTTCATCACTAACGCCAAGAAAAGTTTCCCTGAAAAGTACAGGTGGCAGGGAGTGTTAAAATGAAAACATTTGCATGCAACTTTTTAACCAGAAGGGAAAGCACTTTGGTTATATTTGGAGACATGTGTCTCACACATTTCCCCCTTTTTTTGTAAACTATGTAAGAATAAACATTACAGCTCTGGGCTTTTAATTTCTCCAGATGGAATCATAAAGTACCTAGTAGATTTTTGTTTTATATATATATATACTATACAATTGAGGACACATGTCTGCTTTTCCCGATGAGGACCGAGAAGCAACTTAATTTGAAGGCATAACTACTGAACCACATTTTGAATAACACACTCGAACAAGTTCACTTTAAAAGGCAGGAAACCACTAAGAACAGAGCACTGAAAGTTGCTCCTTCCCATTTGAGCTGCAGTGGAAGTTCACCAGCCTGACCTTCCCATACACTTTGTCTTTTCGCGCACACGTACAGAAGTACACACGGTGGCAGGGTGCCTAGCTGTGCAGGGGGCTAGCTGTGGAGGGGGCTATTCCAAAGCATTCACATCCCGGAAAGGCTCCCCCCGCTCTCTGTAGCCTGAAGAGACTTCCCGGGATCCCACCCCCGGCGCGACGGAGGAGTCCTCAGATCCTCGGGTGACGTGGAGGTCTCCTCCTGCCCCCCCGGCTGAAGCAAGGGCTCCACTTACCCTCCCGGCGCTCTTCTCCGCTCCTCACACGCACACTTGCGCACCCAGCAAAGCGCTCTCCTGAAGGGCAAAAAGAGGGAGGAAGTCTGGAAACCTCATTGATCTTAGGGATCCAGGCTTGCTGAGGGGGCAGGAGATCCTAGGCTTGGAGAAAAATAATAATAAATTGTTTTGAATTGTTTCTTAAAATCCAAGGGCAATGGGTTGGGGTTTTTTTGTGGGTTTTTTGTTTTTTTGTTTTTTTTTTTTTTTGGGGGGGGAGGGGGGTGGGGGAGGGATGTTGGTGATGAAAATTACCAAAATACCCTACTCATCTCCCTAAATAGGCTCAGTCTCCCGCTTTCGTCTCCCCAGCTCCACCCCCCCTCCCCCTTTCTGACTTACATGTGTTTAGAGCAATGGCAAGGAGCTCTCAACTACAGCCCTGGCAGAGGGAGCGTTTAAAGTGGGGATGATTTACTCCTCCAGAGCTCGGGTCCCGCGTGTGAGCTCCCAGCCCCGTGTCAGCTGGGCACTGCCGACAAACAGCCTTAAATATGCATAAGGAACAGTTCGCTTTCTTAAAGGAGAACTTACCCCACCGGAAAGTTCACAGCCCGATGGCAGGCACGGGAGGGGGGTGCTGCGGTGGCCTTTGCGCCGGGACAGCCCTAACCCCTTCCAGAGGTGATCGCCTGCACGCTCAGCGGCAGGGCCGGGGACAGCCAGCAGCCTGGCGGCTGGGGACCGGGCAGAGAAGCGTTGACTGGTCTGTCATGGATTAGCGAGTTGAGGATCAGCACTTTCATACACCGACCTGTCCCTCCTGTCCAAAGCCGGG